AGGCTTCATCCCAGGGATGCAGGGGTGGTTCAACATACGAAAATCAATAAACGTAATAAACCACATTAACAGAAGCAAAGACAAAAACCACTTGATCATCTCAATAGATGCAGAAAAAGCCTTTGATAAGATCCAACATCATTTCATGATAAAAGCTCTAAGAAAACTAGGAATAGAAGGAAAGTACCTCAACATTATAAAAGCTATATATGACAAACCTACAGCCAGCATTATACTTAACGGAGAAAAACTGAAACCATTCCCTCTAAAATCAGGAACAAGACAAGGATGCCCACTATCTCCACTCCTATTCAACATAGTACTGGAATTCCTAGCCAGAGCAATTAGGTAAGAAGAAGGAATAAAAGGAATACAAATAGTAAAGAAACTGTCAAAATATCCCTATTTGCAGATGACATGATCCTATACCTTAAAGACCCAAAAAACTCTACTCAGAAGCTTCTAGACATCATCAATAGCTATAGCAAGGTAGCAGGATATAAAATCAACATAGAAAAATCATTAGCATTTCTATACACTAACAATGAGCAAACGGAAAAAGAATGTATGAAAACAATTCCATTTACAATAGCCTCAAACAAAATCAAATACCTAGGTGTAAACCTAACAAAAGATGTGAAAGACCTCTACAAGGAAAACTATACACTTCTGAAGAAAGAGATTGAGGAAGACTATAGAAAGTGGAGAGATCTCCCATGCTCATGGATTGGTAGAATCAACATAGTAAAAATGTCGATACTCCCCAAAGTAATCTACATGTTTAATGCAATTCCCATCAAAATTCCAATGACATTCATTAAAGAGATTGAAAAATCTACTGTGAATTTATATGGAAACACAAGAGGCCACGAATAGCCAAGGCAATACTCAGTCAAAAGAACAATGCAGGAGGTATCACAATACCTGACTTCAAACTATATTACAAAGCAATAACAATAAAAACAGCATGGTACTGGCACAAAAACAGACATGAAGACCAGTGGAACAGAATAGAGGACCCAGATATGAAGCCACACAACTATAACCAACTTATCTTTGACAAAGGAGCTAAAAATACGATGGAGAAATAGCAGCCTCTTCAACAAAAACTGCTGGGAAAACTGGTTAGCAGTCTGCAAAAAACTGAAACTAGATCCATGTATATCACCCTATACCAAGATTAACTCAAAATGGATCAAGGATCTTAATATCAGACCCCAAACTCTAAGTTGATACAGGAAAGAGTAGGAAATACTCTGGAGTTAGTAGGTATAGGTAAGAACTTTCTCAATGAAACCCCAGCAGCACAGCAACTAAGAGATAGCATAGATAAATGGGACCTCATAAAACTAAAAAGCTTCTGTTCATCAAAAGAAATGGTCTCTAAACTGAAGAGAACACCCACAGAGTGGGAGAAAATATTTGCCAACTATACATCAGACAAGGACTGATAACCAGAATATACAGGGAACTTAAAAAACTAAATTCTCCCAAAACTAATGAACCAATAAAGAAATGGGCAAGTGAACTAAACAGAACTTTCTCAAAAGAAGAAATTCAAATGGCCAGAAAACACATGAAAAAATGCTCACCATCTCTAGCAATAAAGGAAATGCAAATTAAAACCACGCTAAGATTCCACCTCACCCCTGTTAGAATAGCCATCATCAGCAACACCACCAACAACAGGTGTTGGCGAGGATGCGGGAAAAAGGAACCCTCTTACACTGTTGGTGGGAATGTAGACTAGTACAACCACTCTGGAAAAAAATTTGGAGGCTACTTAAAAAGCTGGACATCGATCTACCATTTGATCCAGCAATACCACTCTTGGGATATACCCAAAAGACTGTTACTCCAGAGGCACCTGCACATCCATGTTTATTGCGGCACTATTCACAATAGCCAAGTTATGGAAACAGCCAAGATGCCCCAGCACTGACGAATGGATTAAGAAAATGTGGTATCTATACACAATGGAATTTTATGCAGCCATGAAGAAGAACGAAATGTTATCATTCACTGGTAAATGGATGGAATTGGAGAACATTATTCTGAGTGAGGTTAGCCTGGCCAAAAGACCAAAAATCATATGTTCTCCCTCATATGTGGACATTAGATCAAGGGCAAACACAACAAGGGGATTGGACTTGAGCACATGATAAAAGCGAGAGCACACAAGGAAGGGGTGAGGATAGGTAAGACACTTAAAAAACTAGCTAGCATTTGTTGCCCTTAACGCAGAGAAACTAAAGCAGATACCTTAAAAGCAACTGAGGCCAATAGGAAAAGGGAACCAGGAACTAGAGAAAAGGTTAGATCAAAAAGAATTAACCTAGAAGGTAACACCCACGCACAGGAAATCAATGTGAGTCAATGCCCTGTATAGCTATCCTTATCTCAACCAGCAAAAACCCTTGTTCCTTCCTATTATGGCTTATACTCTCTCTACAACAAAATTAGAAATAAGGGCAAAATAGTTTCTGCTGGGTATTGAGAGGGGGGGAGAGGGAAGGGGCGGAGTGGGTGGTAAGGAAGGGGGTGGGGGCAGGGGGGAGAAATGAACCAAGCCTTGTATACACATATGAATAATAAAAGAAAAATGAAAAAAAAAAAGAATGATGCCTTTGGATGAAGATTCCAACAAGTCTTGTTTCTAGATACTTTAGAGGAAATTTTGTCATCTCATCCTAATAGGAAAGTTAGCCAAATATTGATAAAGGGTTCCCTCAGCATCTAGTGAAACTTCCTTTCCTTCAAAGTGCCGTCCAAATGCACCAAAGGGAAGAACACAGGGACATTCTAGAGCAGGTCTGTCTATGAGGTCTCTCGCTGATGATAGGAGTGCTTTTCTGCCCTGTCTAATAAAGTAGTCACTAGTTCAGTGGTTGCTGATCACCTCAAATGGGGCTAAGTAACTAAACAATTTGTTGTGTGTGTGGTCCTGAAGATCAAACCCAGGGCCTCAGGCATGCTAGGCAAGCACTCCACCAATCCCAGCAACACCTCAAACCCTCCCCACCCCCACCCAGGATCTAACTCTTACACATTGAGATGCACAGAAATGCATAACATTTTAAACACATGGTCTTAACTAAATGGCATTATACTGTGAATATTATTGTGCTAAAGAAGCGTTTTCACTCTGCAATTTATCACTGGCTTCTGGCAGCCAGTTCCTGTGAGCCATAGATGCTTAACAAACCTCACAAACACCTTTTATTCTTTCTCATGATTCTGTGGTCTCACCTGGGCTACCTTTTTTTTCTTTACACAATTGTGCATCAGTCATATTTTATTTATTATTATTTGAGACAGGGTATCACTATGTGACCCATACTGGCTTCAAATTTGTGACCTTTCTGCTTCAGCCTCCCAAGTGCTGGCATGCTCCACCAAATTATTTCAAAATCTGAAAAAAGTAGTATGGATTCTCTAGAGAAACAGAACTAATAGGAGTTTTATACAGAAAAAGATTAATTGTAAAGAATCAGCTCATGGAGTTGTGGAGGCTAAGAAGTCCCAAGAACGGCCACCTGCAATTTTGAGACAAGGGAACCAAGAGGTCTTCCTGGTGCCCCAACTCCACTACGAGCCTGGCTGCACAAGTTGCCCCTCGTTGCCCTTCATCCCCTTATCCTCAAATGCTTTTTGCTTCACTGACCACCCTGCCCCATAACAGAGTACTTAAGATTATTATTCTACCAAATAGGCGCTGCACTCCCCAAGGGCAGACACCATCTTAGACACTCACATGACAAGAGGGAAGTAATAAGCATGGCATTTGTCCTTATGCCCTCAAAAGGGACCCTCTTCAACCTGCCTTATTATGTGTATAGAACATTATTTTGGAAGCAAGGGGATGAATTCTATGGCTTCCTATCCCTTTCTTGCTATAAGTTGGTCCCTCTGTTGCCGTGGTAACCAACTGTCACAGAACACAGACTTTGAGCAGTTGGACTTATAGCCACTGAGACTTGGACCTGAAGAATTTCTAACATCCTGTTGCCTTCTCTTGGGTAGGCAGCCATCAGAACAGCACATGACAGAGTCTATGTTGTTTGTGTGGTGTGTTGTGTGTATCTGTGTTCCTCTTACTGGGGTTTCATATAAAAGCTGAGCTAAATATACCTTAGATTGTGGAAGGGTGGACATTTAAATGACTGTAAACTTTCTGGAACACATTTTCATATTAACTATCATAAGACTTTAAATACTAGTGATCTCTGAAAGATTGTTATGATGTATAGGAATATAATGATATACAGAGATTTATGGACAGGGCTGTAACTACAGACTTACACCTAATGAATGGTCTTAATAATCTAATCATCATTAATCACCTAACATAATGGCTATTTACTTAGGTAAATACCTAAGTAGTTAAGAACTTGAGAATGACTGTGTGTACATCCGATTGTGTGTATAGAAGGCTGTGCCATAAAATTTAACAACCTTATTTCCTCTTGATGTGATTCCAACATACATGAGTATTATATATATGTACACATACCAACATATATATATATATATATATATATATATATATATGTGTGTGTGTGTGTGTGTGTGTATAAAGAAAAGGAAAGCTCATAAAGAAATCCACCAATCTCTCTTAATGATGGTTATCATCACTAGATGGTTGGATCTTAGATATATTTATTTTCATCTTCACACTTTCATGTATCTTTTAAATTGTATGCACTTACAGTTTGCTTTTATTTAAATTCTTTCGAATGGTGAGAGATGTCAGATGCAGATGCTCAGTAGAAGGTTATTGTATAATTAAATCAGTTTTCAAGGAGAGAGAACTACCTCTTCTGACTTTCAATGGAAAGTACAAACCTAGGACAAACTTCTATCTGAATGGGAGAGTTCCAAATAGAAAAGGGCATGGATCATATTGTCGCTTAAGGACTTGCCTCTCTTCTCCTCACTATCCATTTTTTCTTTTGAAGTTCCGAGTCAAGTGAGATGTTAGATAGGAGCCCTTGAGAGCCATGACAACCTCACCCTCCAGCAGCGACTACACTAACACAGAGGATGACGATGTGTAGGAATCCAAATCTAACCTGAGTCTCTCTGTGGGCTACTTCCCCTATGATGACCCTATTTCTTATGAGGACCCAACCTCCTATGAAGACACAACTTCTATGGATTCACCAGTTCACTTCCTCCCTCCTTTCCAAGGGAAAGGGTGGACTAAGAGTATCAAGAGACTCGTCAAGAGATGAGATCAGATTGAGGATGACCCAGGGCAGTTTTGCAAACTAAGCATCACCCTAGCCTGGGATATTGATATAGGGCTTGAGCAGGCAGACCCAACAGCTAACTGGAATCTAAATAGAAACCACCACTGGATGGACAAGTGGCCACAAGAGCAAAAACTGACTCCTTGCAAATTGGATGATCTAACACAAAAGCCTGAGACATTTCTAGAAGATCAGAATGATGACAAGAATGATGACTCCTTGTTCCCTGAATCTCGTCAGGAAAAAGATTTCCAGCTGTCCACCAGCTCCCCAACTCATATGATTCAGATCAACCACAAAGAACATGATGCTTGTCAAGTTTTACCCAAGTGCAAACCACCAGAAAATGCAGAAGTCATTCAGTTCCCAGAGATTCCTCCTCAGTCTAAGGAACATCAGCTTGCTGTGGTGAGTACAGTGATGCCTCACAAGAATGAAAGGGACAGCCTAGTAAGAGGACCAGGCTGGGCAGTGGAGTTTCCCTACCTGGTGTGCGAAGCAGGGCAGGTATGAGGTGTCTGACATGACTAGCAGTAGGAGAAGGATGACAGCCAAGAGGAGTTGGGGTAGAGTTGTAGGGAAAGTAAAGAGAACCACTAAGGTGGGAGAAAAGGGTAGGAACAAGAAGCACTACTAATAATGTTATTACAAAAGTGTGTAACTATTAATGAGAATTGTAACTTTGTGTTTAGAATTGGGCTATTTTTGGTGATTTGAGGTCCATAAATGAGTAGATATTGATTCCATGACTGCCAACAGGACTTGTATCTATCTCATCCACCTTTTCTGGGCAGGAAATAAGCCAGGCAACTGAGAACAACAGCAGGAGCACCACAGCGACCTCATCAATTTGTGTTGAGCAGCCAGAGGACTCTCTCTCTGACACACACACTGCATCCTGTCTGAACCTCAGGAGGACCTTCCGCTGGCTGAGGCAGCATGTCCTTGCCTCCCTCCAGAAGAGGAGAGAGCACGCTGACAAGGACCAGATGAGATGGTACCAAAAGACACTGCAGAGTCACCCTTTTAGAAGCAATACAATCATGTCTCGAGAATATCTTGACTCAGGACCCACTTCATCCCCAGATTTTTATACATTTTTATAAACCTTTTCCACAATCCCTGTAAGTTTATATGTTTACCAATCAACAAATGTTTTTGTTATCCACCTATTCTCTTTCTAGTGTATCTTGACTCATGTTTAATATATCTAGAAAACTGAAACTCACTCCAGGGAAATTTTAGGCAGTATGCTTTCAAAATGGAAGGTATTCTTTTACTCTCTCCTTACCTCTTGATATATTTTATTCCATATTGTGTATTTATTCATACATTTTAACCTATTTTATCATTAAGTCACATCTTCCAGAAGACACCAGTACAATCCATCACCTCCCATCATGGCTGGACGCTTTGGGTTGAACATCCAGAAGTGTGCAAGTGGCAGTGGTTATTGGGCAGATCTGATGTTCACACTGCACCCACTTGGTTCTCACGCATTGTTTGTTATAACATGATTTATTGTGCTGGTGGATTCTGGCACATTGGCTATAATAGGGGGCCCCTTTAGGAGGAGTTTGAAGTGTGGGATGCTACTAGCCCACTTCAAGCCTACCTTTCCTCATTCAAAATATTGGGGTGATGATGATATTTACCTCATGGGGTTGAGAGAGATAATTAATTCATGATAAATGCAAGCATTTCATAATAATTGTTATTGCCACTGGTCTTTCTCCTAAAAATCTAAGAAGACTTGTCTGAGTCAATTAACTTTGAATTGTTTTCCACAATGAAGCAATATTTACCAAATATTTTCCTCAGATCCTATTGAACCAAGTCTCTCTCAACTCACTGCACTGTGTTCCCTGAATTCTTTTGCAGCCATCATTAAATTTCCTCTAAATGTCAACTTCTTTGAGGAAGGTCATACTTACCCTTCCTGCTCAGACTCTCCCTGTTGTTGTTTTCTTGTCACCTCCCAGTGCATACTCATCCTCCTCATTCACCCATAGGTTTGCTTAACAGTCCTCCATCAGCTTTTACCACCATTCTGAGTGTCCTTCAGAGCCCATTCAGAAAAGCAGATGAGTCTACTCTCAAACAGCTTTCTTTCCTCAACCTCAATTTCCTTATCCCTTTCCCCTCTTCCTTCCTTCTACAAATACTTAGGGCATATAATTTGAAGACACTTTTCTAACTTATCAAATAGAAAAAAAGAGGACTCAATCTTTGGGCTCAAGTGTCTACTTTCTTAGGAGAAAATGCCATGTAAACACAAGACTGTTAAGGGTTGTGGGAGAGATACACATGGGGTACTAGTGGACGTTTACACTTGAATGTCCTTATGCACACCTTACAATCAGTGTGTTCAACATGAAATCAAACATCTTTCAAATCTTGCATTTGCATTTGCTAACTCATCAGTGGTATCACCATTCAGGCTATTCTCCAAACAATAAACAAGGGCATTAGCTTTGATTCAAACTTCTCTTGACTGAGTTTTGGCATTTTGCTTTCCCTGAAATCTCTTGTATCTATTTCCTCCTCTTCATCCCTGCCTCCATCATTACAAGGGTTTATTTAGTTCTTTATTATGTCTCACATCATTACAACAATATCCTAAAGGCTTCTTCCTCATCCTATCTTCCAAAGAATAGTCAGAATGACTTGCATAAAACACACATCATCGAGTGATTTCTCTTCTCTACATCCCCTAAGAAAACCCAGCGACTATGGATTAAAGTCCAAATCCATTTCAGTTTACAATATGTCTCTTGACCTGACCCAGCATACCACGCTGACCTCATCATGCCCCTCCACACATCCTATACTCTAACATTACTCTCAATTTTTTTAGGCTGTCTTTCTGCCTAGAATTCCTGTGAACATCCAACCCAAGCCTCCCAGAGAATGTGGTATCACACAGTAGCAGAACTGCTCAAACTTCACCATTCTGGCCATAATTGACTGGTTGGAGCACAGTCCCATCCCCCATTAGTGCTTATTACATTATTGTGGTACAGACCTCTGAACTCTTCCTTCTTCCAAATAATACACATTCAGCTGTTCTTCAAGTCCTGAAGTTTCTATCACCTATTTTTCTCTCAAAGCCAGTTGAAGGAGGATCCATTTACCTCACTTTGTGTTATTACATTCATCTTCCATCACCAGAACATTCTACATTGTCTTCCTGTCTCTCTCTTGACCTGTGCTTTCTCTATTTTCTACAACACAGCTAGAATCATTTTTCCAAAGTCACTTTCCTGTTTAAGTTTGTCAGTGACTGCATTGTAACAGACAGATGGTGTACTTCCTAGAACTTTATTTCAGTCTTCTTTCTCCTCAGTTAGAATGTTGATGTTTCCCTACAACTGTGCACATGTGAAAACAAGGACTTTGCTTTGTTACTCTCTGCCGTATCTCCACAATAAGCTTAAAAGAGTGAGTGATTGAATGTGTGTCTCTCTTGCCTTCATTTATATAACTCCTTTGTTTACTGTAGTCCTAGAGCAGAACTTCATAATTGTCTCTGTGTTTCCAGATCCCAACATTAGACTTGTGTCTAAAAGGTATCACTAATGCTTCCATCTCTGAGTCTTCTTTGGGTTTCCATTTCCTTAGGCAAAATATAGTTTTCTGAGCCATGACAAAGTAATCTCACATCATTTATTGCCAAAGTTATGGGGAAAAATAAAAAAAAAGAAAGAGCAATCGATTCAGCAATGGAGAGGCTAATTGTCACAAGGTTATATGAGGGTCCTTGAGTTACAAGTGTGGTTAATGTAAAGTGAAGACTTTGGGCTGCTGGATATTCGGGTGAGGTGTGAGACCAGGGCATGAGAGAGAATGTGGATATATGTTTCAGGAAAGACAATTGAAGGAGGATACAGTATTTTGTCAAGACCACAGGCTGAAGCTCTTCACAGCCAGACTTTCCACATAGCCTCACTTCAAAACTCCTTCCCAGAAGAGGGGAGTTCAAAGGCTCCTAATACAAAGAAGTGATAGATGTTTAAGGACATACAAATGTTAATTACTCCATTTTAATCACTGCACATTATATACATGTATCAAATTATCTCATTATACCCCATAACTACATGCACTATCATGTATCAATTTAAAATAATTTAAGAAGATGTCTACATGGAATGAGAGGTCCAGTTCTTTGTTAAGGTTCCTGAAACATTTGTGATTATTTTCAGTGTCTTTATAAACCTGGCTGATGTATATGAACCTTCCCTAAGTGATGTACTTTGCAGGCCCTTACAATAAATGTTAAGTATCCTTTGAGGTTTATGATATGCCACCTAGTAGAAAGTAATACAAAGTATTTTTTAAAATGAAATATTTCAGTACTTCCACACTCATTTTAGTCTCAAATATCCAACTATTAGCTGCATGTCAAACTATGACCAAGTCATCTGCTTTGTGGGGTAGGGGCTGGGGTAGGCCATTGCAGGTGTCAAAAGTATTGGTCAACTGGAAGTGGTCGCTGAAAGATAATAGCTTTGCTGTTAAACCTCAAGACTCTTGTAGAATTATAGTAATTGCCAGGGAAATGCTAATCTCATTAACCAATACATTTTGGGATTTAATAGCACTCAAGACTGAAAACTAAAATCATTCCTTCAAGTGAATAGCTAAACATTGAAGCCCATCAAGCCCAGCTGTTTGTAATAAGCAGGTATTGACTTAAATAGTCATTTTCTACAATCCCTATGCCAGACTACAGAGTGAGAATTCATTAAGAAAACATTGGGGGTATAGAGCTCTCTGCAAACACAATAGAGAAATTAGGCAATGTGAACATATTACAGACCACTGGTGCTGGGCCACTTTCTTACTCAGCAGAATCCCAACAAAAGCAGTGTGTGTTGGGGGTGGGGGTGGCGGGCAGGAAATGTATGATAGAACCATACCACCAAAACATGGGCAAGCATCTTTTTTCTAGACCTAAACAACAGGATGTATAAATATTCAAGGCTCAAGAGCCATGCACAGGTGCAAGGCTACCTGACCACGAGAATAACATGACACCTAAAGTCCTACTAAAAAACAGTGAAAAGAAAAATGAAGCAAATGGTGCATGAATTCCTACAGAATGCTAAAGGTCTCTGTCCAATATCACAGAATAGTTGCTTTACTTAGGAGTTGTTTCACAATGTTTTCTCATTATGAACTGCACACAAAAGAATTTACGCAGCACGCGGGACAAAATCTAATTTCAAGACGATGTGCAGGTTTTATATTGCACTCCTTTGAATCAGTCTTTTCCTGTTAGCCCTAGAACCCAACAGAAAGAACAATGCTCTGCTTTCAGAAGTGAAATAAAATCTCATCAGATAACACTCCCTGAGTGAGCCTGTCATCATCAGGGTTGGTAGAAAAGCCTCAGGATAAATACCTCAAATGATTATTAGCCTAGATCAAGAAGTCCCCCATTGAACAATTTTCCCACCTTTGAAAGGAATTTCACAGTTTTAATGTTCTTTTTATTCCCATGTAATATG